CGGATGATGTATTGTCGCGAACGCGGCGATAGCCCACCGGTTATCACTGGAGCACGTTTGCTGCAGACTTGCGGCCAATCACCGCTCGCGCGCCGCATTCGCGTGCGCTTACCTCATATGACACACGCCTTCGTCCGGGACTAGTCACTAATACCAACAAACTGTTACCTCAGATGTTGTACTGCTTATGTAGCCACGATTCATGTAGGCTGGTGCTCGTGACGTAGGAACCTTAAGCATAGATAGTTGCAAGAAAAATTTATTCTTCATGGTTTCACTTACCGCAGGGTGTTTAAGGGCATCATCGTATGAAGGTGGAGCCTCAATGACCGATATTTGGCTTTCAGGAACAACATAAAACCGTCGTTCACCCACGGTTTGCATTGTGGGAACAGCACTTTCGGGATAATGAGTAGCTGAAATGTTATTCTCATCAGTATCTGATAGTTCTGCGTCTGCTAGGTATCGACTGACCTCGCAGATCAGCTCGGCTGAGTTGTGTTGCCATTCTTCGTCGATAGAATCGACCCATCACTGCGGTAGTAGAGATGATGAGCAAAATCAATCCACAAACTCCAATCACCAAAGCGATGAGGCCCGAGACGTCAGCATCTCTGGAATGGAGAAATTCACATATTTTCTCGATCAAGTTATCTGCAGAAAGAAGAAAGTTAAAGGAGACGTAGGATTACAAAAGAACACTAAATTTTGGAACGTTAAAGTGCATTTTTTGAAACTGGCATAAACGATATAATCAATAAAATTGATATTTGCCATGTAAGTAAGTGATAGATTTTGTTAAAAAATAGTGGAAAGAACTTCTAACTGCTTTTTTTGTCTCGTTCAGGGTTTTGGCGAAACTACAAGGAATTGTGTTATGCCTCCTTCGTTAGCTCTTATTCGCAGCATTTTGATCAAATGGATTCTATCTTTGATCTGTGCACGAATGAAAATCTTACAGGTTGTTTAACTACCACGCTTACGCTATCATGATCATAATTTTTCCTTGTTGACTATTTGCTTCTTATGCCATTCTCGTCATTTGCACATTTTTCTGGTGGTTTTGACCTTTGCACACGATGTCTATACAATGCATCAGCTCGTCTTCAGTTTATTGGCTTTTTTGTATCACCTACAATTAGGTTGGCAACTAAGCTTTGGAAGTTTTGGAATT